TTTCACCTCTTACACTGTCCCTTTTATTGTTTTATAATTTAATGTTGCTCTCTTAGATTATTCATAGACTAGTACTATAGCAATTTTATAAAGCAAAGTGTGAAAGAGATTCATTCTATTATTCTAATACTAATATTTTTGGTCTTTGTGATTTCAAGTCCCAAGGCCAACTATTAATAATGACATAAGAGAAAGAAATAGAGACAGTCCATCAACAGTACTGCATCCTATTTTTATTTTTATTTTATTTAAAAGGTTATTATCATTAGAATAGTGACAATTAGTATATTGTAAAAAAAAATATATAATTCAATTTTATGTATTGACCATGTAAATGTAACAACATACATGGTCTAGGCCACCACTCTTGGCAATAGCTTACCAACATAAAAATAATTAAATTTTATGTATTTATTCGATGAGGAAAAATTGACACATAACAATCACCCTCGCTTAAAAACCAACAACATATATAATTAGTCACATATTTTTATTTGATACAATTGATATTCATGTTATTCAATTAAAATTCGTCACTTGAATATATATAACTCTTTTTTATTAATAATCGATACCTAATTGATATAACTCTTCCACCTAATACAATAACTTGTTACATTTCGTACATACACAAATTATAACTACATTTTATAATTATGTTCTAAATTATAATTATTTATGAAGTTTAATTTTCTCATTTATTAATAGGGTGGAGAATTTTAAACATGAATCAACTTTCGTGAAGTAATGAGATTGAAGATCTAATCCATTAATTAGATGACCTTTACTGGAAGAAAAGCTTAAAAACAAAGTTATGATTAATTATTTCGAAATAAGTTTTATATGATAAGTTATTTCATTATGTATATAAGATAATTTTATCTCATTATCACTAAAAATATAAATATCAAAATAAAATAATAACAAAACTACCTGATTCTTTCAATCAAACACAAAATGAAATAATCTTACGTTTTATTTCTTAAATTATTATACTTTATATCTCACCTCACGACAGATTTCACTTGGAGTCAAAAACAACATAGAGAATCAAGTGGTAAAGTGAAAGATCTGCCAAGTTTGACCATTTGCTGCTATATAACTACAATTCCATTGCCTCTTGCCAGCTATATTCAATCAATCAATGTCTTTTTTATTTTTATTTTCTTCCAATTTTCAAATCTTTGCTCGAGTCTGATCAACATGTTAAATTTTAAAAAAATTTAAAAAATAAATTGATTTAGATTTTGTAAAAAAAAACCCTATTATTGTAAATTTTACGAAGAACACTCATCATGCGTGTGAAGAGGTTATTCGTATCATGTGAAGAATTATATTGAAGAATAATCAGTTACTTTTATTGTTGACTAGTGAATTATGATAAAAATAATGTATTTAAAAGATTGTAATCACGAATATTTATTTATAAGAAGAATATGGAAATTTACGATTTATCAATGTGATGCCTTAGAATGTTTCATATTTTAATATCTTATTTATGAATTGTAATTGATTCATTTAATAAGATTATATAAAAAAAAAAGAAAATTTTGATAGTTTTTACGACCAGTGAAGTTTGTTTATGAAGTTTGCTTCTAAATTCTAACATGATAAATTAATTTGCAAGTTGGAGTCTTGAATTCTAATTATAACCTTGAAAAATTAAAATAATCAAGAGGTGGCGTAGTAAAATGGGAAAATAAATATTTAAAAAATATAACTTTTAAGGTAAAAGTTAACGTAACGAATGTATTGTACTTTGTCTCATGGAATATTGAAACAAAATTAAAGTGCATCATATCTCAAGATTATCAACTCATAATTATTATTTTTTAAAACACCTCACTAGTACGTATATAGTACTTAATTCGTATTTATTTCCCTTTTTAAAAAAATAAGAATGGGGCGTATAATCAAAAAAATTATTCGTACTCAATATTTATATCACTTTGATATGAAGTATGTGTAGACATTGAAATTTTATGAGAGTCTACGAGACGTGTTTAATTACAATGGAGACTCTACAAGACGTTTTCAGATCCAATTAGGGTTTATAAAGGTTATTCAACCCTAATCCCTAGTTCATGCATATATAAATGATATTATATTTTTTTGAAAAGGTATCTCAAAATTTCCATCACAGAGAAGAATCAAGAGAGGAAAAAAAATTGTTCCACCCTACTTATATTAATATAATATTCTTGTTTCTTCAGATTTTATTTATGATTAATTTATTTTTCATATACTTAAAATTTGTTGCAAACAACATGTCTTAACCTACACCCTTATTGCTAAATTATAATTAATTAATTAATTATATACATTTTGATAGTGTACTTACAAAGAAGGGTTTTTTCTTCTTGGATTTTTTAATCTTATATTTGATCATTAAATTGTGATTTCGATTAATTCAGATATGCATGGCTAATTAAGTCACTTAAAAAGAGGAAACACTCCTAATTATTTTGTTGCAATTTACATTTACGTTAGCTTGAAGCATTGATAAGGTAGGGAAATTATCAAAATTAAAAAGATGAAATACCTAGTGTAGGTACAACTCTAGAAATAATTCAAGTGGCCATAAAAGTGTGTGAAAACAAGCTAGTATAAACATAGGTGTTTTGACCAAATTAAACAAATTTAATTAAGTAATATTATATTATAAGCTCTTCCTCCTAGCCCCTAGGTATAGAAAAGGGGAGGACAATTTTATCATATAAGTAATTAATTACTGTCAAGAGTTGGCAATGTCAGTTGCTGGTTTATTAAGTCCCAATTAAAATTCTTTAATAAATTATCTATTTTAAATTTATTATCTTGACTAATTCAAATTTGAGCCGAGCAAGTTTTCTAAATCTTATTCCTACTTCGAAAGTAGAGGATGTGTTTCTAATAGATTTTTGACTTCAGAAAAAATAGTTCAAAGCAATATGAAAAAAGAAATAACAGAATTGATCGAAGAGACTATTATATTTTATTATGAAAAACATGACAAATCATTTTGAATAGTAATTACAAGTATATGATAATTGAAGTACATGAGATGATGAATAGTAACAAAAATTGAAGGACAAAACGCTATAAAAGTAAACAACTGCTAATATAAAAAGCAAGACAAAACTTTGTTACCGACCTACTAACCCTTTATCATAATTTGTGTTCTTCACAACCTTCGATCATTAACATATCCTCGATAACCTTTTAAAGCTCTAACTCAAAACTTTTAATTATTCGTTTAGTTATCTCGCAATAAAATTGAATGTATTTTAACTATATTTAGTCATACTCGATGTTCAAAGATTCAAGATCACCACAATTATTTTTCTAAAACAGCTACATATAATATTTAGCAGTTATATGTAGGTAACATGTAACATGTATCTTTTTTCTCCTATTGTATGAACTCATCATTCTCTATGCTAAATCACACTTCAATTTGCTCATTTAAAAAATAATAATTTATGATTCTAAAAAGTACAATGAATATTCTTTTTCGTGTTCTTCTTGAATGATAACTTATAATCCAAACATTTGACATGTTACTTTTTATAAATCAGCTTCAAATCTATGATCCCACATATAAAAAAACAATTCTTAGAAAAGATCATCACCATAAATATTACTATTGCCAAAACAATAAATTTGATGTTACTTTTAAAATATATATATAATATTTATAAATTACATTAAAAGTATTAACTATCCTATAAATTAAATAATAAATTAATGTACTAGTAATATCATAGACATAAAGTAAGGTACACATCACAAGGCAAATAAATAATGCTAGGGTAGTCTATAAAGTACACAAGATAGCTAAAACAAACAAACAAAATAAACAAGTACTACAAAAAAGAAGAAAAAAACAAACAAAAGGAAAAGTTCCACTTTTTTCTTCATTATTCTCTTTATATTTTTGGAGAAATTTCACTTTCAGCTATAAAATTTTAATTATATTTTAAATAAAATGCATGTTTAAACATATTTTACAAATTTTAAAAACAACAAACTTCAACCATTTAGATTTTTAAGGTTTTAATTTTTGATTCGAAATCTATGATCAAATAAAAGCTAAGTAAAAAATATTTACCACCCTCTAAAACTTCAATAATATTTTATTTTCATTATTATTTCTCCATCTTTTACTCCATAAAATATGTTTCTTCGAATACATAAAAATTAAGATAATTTAACAGCTTTTTTAATTTTTTTTTTTTTAATAATACAAGCGTGACTATAAATGCAGGGGACCTTTTGTTACTAAGCTTTCTTCTTGATTCCCTCAAATTAACTAATTTCTTCCTCAACTTCTTTTTCGACCCTTTTGACTCTACTTTTACAATTTACTTCGACTACGTTTATCAGTTGGATCCAAAATAATTTTGTACTTAGTTATAAGTGTGGCTATAAATATATGAGTTAAAATATTGTGTTATGAGTTTAAGGATTTAGTTAATAGTGTCGTGAGTATAAGGGTTCAATTGATGAACAAAGCGAAATTCAAGGGCTTCTCAGATCATTCCACTCGTATTATATCTTTTAGCTTTGAACGTGCACAAAAATATACTTGAATTTGTTTAAAGTTAAACAAATAAATACATGCATTCTACATAGTGTCTTGCATGTATTATGCCACGTAGAACACGTATGACTTTATACAAGTTTAATTATATACTTAATACTTGTGCATGTTTAAAATTAAAAACCAAGTTAAATAGCATGTTTATGCATTATGCCAATATAAAAACTTCAGTGATCTGATGCACTAAACTCTCTATGTAAGCTAGACTCATGGAAAAATTAGATCACAAGAGTTTATTATTGGCTACATTTTTTATGTTTTTGCAGAAAACAGCTTGACAGAATAATAACTTTATCAGTTACGTCAAAGTTGTCGTGGTAACTCTTTTAGAAAAAGTAAAGAAAAGAAAAGCAGTAGCCAAAAAGTTAAAGAATTGATTTTTATCCCTTCTCTTCAGTAAAAAAAGAAAAGAAAATCTGTTCAAGAATGGTGTAATAGAGTACCAAAAGTAGTAGTACACAATCTGAAATAAGGTATCTTTTTCCTCCTCACCCCACTTTTAGTCTGTTCTTTTTTTTCTCTATTTCAGAGCTGTCTGAGCAGTTTGAGAAATTTTGAGGGGTGGTCTGTTCTTTACTGTGACTTAGGGTTTTTACTTTAAATGAGCTATTTATGGTTGCTGCAAGTTAATGACTTGTTCAATTTACTGCTTTTTTGAGCTCTTTGTTGAAATGGGGTTGTGTTTTCTTGGACATTAAGGGGGTGGGGTGGGGACTTTTTTTGTGAATTTGAAAGCAGTGCTTGCCGTTTCTTGTTCTGTATGGACTTTTTGTATTTGGGGCTTTTCTAGTTCTGAGTGAATCTTCTGGTAGACATACTTTGTTCACCTGAAAAATCTTGTTTTGTTGGATAATTTGTTCACATATTTGGTTGTATGATCTTTGTTGAGGATAGTTATATGCATAAAGATGAAAACTTTAAGTTCCCAGTATGTTGAATTTCAATGTTTTAGGTTGTTTGCTTGATACTCAAGTGGTAAAAGAGAAGTTTGGTTAAGTTTTTCTGTACTTAGAAAAATATGGATATAGAAATCAAGAATGACAGTGAACCAGAAAAGGGGAATGATCAAGAAGTGTCAATGAACTATCAGTCACCAAATATTTCTTCAGAATGGCAATTAAATGGGAGTAATTTGACTAATTCATCTATGGGAATGGTGGATTCATTTTGTCCTAGTACTTGGGATCAGCCTACCACCAATTCATCAAATTTAGGCTTTTGTGATGCTAGTGTTCAAATGGATTTAGGACCTTTTAGAGCTGGTGTTGATAGAACACTTGGTCCTAATTGGACTCCATCAAATGCTATGTTGAAAGGGGGTATGTTTCTACCTCCTGTTCCGATGATGCTTCCGCAGAGCTTAGCTCAGTTTCCGGCTGATTCGGGGTTTATTGAAAGAGCTGCAAGGTTTTCTTGCTTTAGTGGAGGGAACTTTGGTGATATGATGAACCCTTTTAGCATCCCCGAGTCATCGATGAATCCTTATTATAAGGGATTGACACCAATGCAGGGTCCTCAAGAGGTTTTGGCAAGTAATGGGTTGAAATCACCTCAGAAGCTGCAGCATTTGAGTAATGTGGCTGAAAGTTCTAAGGATGTTTCTTTAACCGTTGCTCGTAGGGACACAGAGAGAAGTCCCCTCAAGAATGAGAAAAAGAGTGAAAATTTTGCTAAGTCTCAGGATGAAGCAAAAGAAGTTGCTGGAGTCTCTAGTAGTGAGTCTGATGAAGCAGGATGTAGCGGCCGCCAAGAAGAAATGGAGGGTGCCGGTGAGGAGTCTTGTGGAAAGAATATTGGCTCAAAGAAAAGGAAAAGAGGTGGTCAGGTAGGCCATCATTAGTAGATTTCGTTTGATCGTTCACACAGATAACTATCTGTTCTTTTTGTTACTATTTGTTGTTTCTTGTACTTCCGTTATATCTTTTTCTGAATTGCTTTGGATTGTTTTTCTTGAGGCGAGCATCTATCGGGAAACAACCTCTCTACCTCTGAGGTAGGGGTAAGGTCTGCGTACACTTTAACCTCCCTAGACTCCACTGGCTATTGTTCGTTCACAAGATAGTTCCTTGTTGAATGTTCTTGTAATTTAGCAGGATACTGAACCTGATCAAATGAAGGGAGCACAGCAGCCACCACCCGAAATTCAGAAAGGGGAACAAAACTTGAATTCGATTGCCAGCAAGCCTGGTGGAAAGAATGGTAAACAGGGGTCTCAATTTTCAGATCCAACCAAAGAAGAATATATACATGTTCGTGCTCGAAGAGGCCAGGCAACAAATAGCCATAGTCTTGCAGAAAGAGTAAGACTTCTATTAGAAGCTTCCAAGTTATTAAATCTCATATTTTATTGGTTTTGGTACTAATTTGAATGGTTTTGATTACAGATAAGGAGGGAGAAAATCAGTGAACGGATGAAGTATCTTCAGGATCTTGTGCCTGGTTGTAACAAGGTTGGTATTATTGGAATCAACTAGTATGGTGTAGCAGGCGCTATGTTGCTCGGACTCTTCATAAAATGTTGATGGGTGTGTGTCGAATCCTCCGGAAGTAGTGCATTTTTTGGAGGATCCGACATGGATGCGGCAACATTTTTGGAGAGTCCGAGCAACCTACTCAGCCTATATTAGTGATTTCAGTAGGCATATGCTATATTATAGCATACATTAGAAATTTTAGTTGGCACTTTTCTGTTTTTAGTTACTTGAGAAAGAGGTGATGATTGCAGGTCACCGGCAAAGCTGTGATGCTGGATGAAATCATTAACTATGTACAGTCTTTGCAAAGGCAGGTTGAGGTATGGAATTAATAACTTATTTTCTTTCTCACGTTTCTTCGATCGTACTCTTCACATTAATAATGGTGCCTTCTTTCCTTTGGAATGCTCAATTGTCAAAATATTTAGTGATGATTTGATTGCTTCACAATATTGCTGGCTTGATTATCCTGGTGGCTGGTTAATGTGGTCTTGAGGAATTCTTAGTACATGCATTCACGTTACAAATATGTGAACTCTAGCTCTTGATTGATTTTAAGATGTTTTTGCTAACTTTGTGTTAAGCATTCTAGTATCTTAAGGATGACTAGACTCCTTTTTGTTCCAGTTCCTCTCAATGAAGCTTGCAACAGTAAACCCGCGGCTGGATTTTGATATTGATAGTCTCCTGGCAAAAGATGTAAGTAGTTCTCTTTTCTGAGTATGACGTGTAGCCGAGCATTGTTGGAATTCCACCTAATGCTTGAATAAAAATATTCCCTTTGTCGCAGATCCTCCAGTCTCGAGCAGGTCCTTCATCCTCGCTCGCTTTTCCACCTGATATGACCTTGGCATATCCTCCCTTACATCCACCGCAAGCTGGAATGCTTCAATCTGGTCTTCCTGGTTATGGATTTCCTAGTGAAGCATTTCGTAGAGCCATCAATCCTCATTTAGCCACTACTAGTTGTGGGCCTGGCGACTACAAGGATCCGTCATCTCAGGTAACATTTGTGGTTCTTGAACTATTGTAGCATAAGCAAATCTTGGTCAATGGTCTACTAATCATTTGAGCTAATGTGCATGATCTCCAGGCACCGAATGAATGGGATAATGAACTACATAATGTTGTCCAAATGGGGTTAAATTCAAGTGTACCCTCATCTAGTCAAGATATAAGTGGTATTTGATGCCCCTACGTGATGTTTCTACGATAAATTAGCATCATCGCCTCTAGTAATCCTGAAAATTCTCTGTTTGTAGGTTCTCTATCAGCAGGACAGATGAAATCAGAACCATGAACTCATCGTAGATACCAAATATGCTTTAACTTTACCTGTTATTGGGAGATTAAGGTGCACTGATTATGTTATCTGGGAAGTGCGTTGCACCGAGAGTTCTTCCTATTTCGCATTTGCATGAGACCCCCCAATCCAGGAGTTCCCAGTGAGTCTGTACAGCAAGTCCATAACGCGTATTTGTTAACACAGTGCATTCACCTCCTTTTCATAAGTGACACAGTCGGCTAGTAGCACAACAGTGAAAATTCATTCCACGAGATTGACGTTCTTCAGATCAACAACAGCAAATGAAGGTTCAAGAACTAATGTTTTGTTGATGCATTCTTGAATCTTTCGTTGCGGAGATGTTTATATTCTTCATGTTCATTCCATGTTGAAGAACTTGCAAATTGTATGGCCTGGGAAAAGTAAATGATGTTCATGCTTCTTTTCTTCCAAAGCATTATTTACATAAAAACTTTGTTCAGTTACTGCAAAATAATACACAGAATCTGATGGTGTTGTTGACTGTAAGGTTGATTCTCAGAAAACTTGTCATGCATGATATTTCTGAGACTTTAAAATGGATAGCTCGGTACACAAAACATTCCGCGTGCACACAGTCCGGGGAAGAGTTGCGCTTCAAGGGGGTGATGTAAACAACCTATCGTACTATTCTAATGCATGCATTAATGATTGCTTCTAATATTATTTAAGTTAGTGAGTGATTCTTCTTTTCGAGATCATTTTTTCCATAAAGACTTGTGCTGGTGGAGTTAGCAGGCCCCCAGATTGGTCTAGATATGCGTGAACTGATCTGAACATCATAATTATTAAAAATAAATAAATGAGGAATCTTTTGCCTTATCATATCACACATATGAGCTCAACTGAGGGTCGGTGTGAGCTCAACTGAGGATCTATCGCAAACAGTTCACTTAGGCATGTTTGCATATGTGTATACATCGCCCTCTCCAAACTCCACTTATTAAAGATAGCAATGCGTCTGTTAATAGGCTTCAACGTCACAATTATCAAAAAATCAACTTGGAATCGAAAACAATTCACTTAGGTCAAGATAGATTTTCAAAATTTATGATTTAAAATAAATCATAAATATTTGTGTGGCAATAAATTATTCCATAAAGGTAAAATGAACATTTTAAAGTTAAGTTATAATTAATACAGAAATTTGTCAATCTATGAGTTGACTGGACGAACCGTAGATTGATCAACAACTCGTAAATAGGTTGGTGAAAAATGAGGCTTCAAAACAACCTTATGAAGTTTATATGCTGTCAATTGTTCGGAAATGAAACTAATAATTCACGTTAAGTTTGGAGTATTTTCAATACATTCTCTCTTTATTTACTTAAACAATAATATTGAAACATTACAAAAAAATTTAATATTTATTAAAACTTGGTGAACAGTCAAACAACTTCACATAAATTGTGACGAGGGAGTACTATAAATGAAACCGAACTACCCGCCAATTCCCCTCTTATGAACATTATGTCTCATATTTCCAATCATTACTGTTCTCTGCTCAAACTTTGGTGTGAATCCCAAAACCAGAACCAAATCAAGAAGCTTCATTGCTTCATTCTCAAAACAATAGCAAACCCAGAAACATTTTTGCTTAACAATCTCATAAATGCTTACAGTAAACTCAATAACACTGGGTATGCACGCCAAGTGTTTGAAGAAATACCTCAACGAAACCAGTTTTCATGGAACACCATTCTTTCTGTTTATTCGAAGTCTGGAAACCTCTCGAGAATGCTAGACGTGTTCAATCGAATGCCAAAGCGAGATGGGGTGTCTTGGAATTTGATTATTTCGGGGTATGCATCTCGAGGTTTAGCTATTGATGCTTTAGAGGCGTATAAGTTGATGTTAGAAGATGGGGGAATGAGTTTGAATAGGATAACGTTTTCGACGATGCTTATATTGTCTTCGGATAATGGTTGGATTCGAATGAGTAGGCAAATTCATGGGCAGATAGTGAAATGGGGATTTGAGTCGTATGTTTTCGTGGGTAGTCCGTTGGTTGATATGTATGCAAAAGCAGGGTTTATTTATGAGGCTGAAAAAGTTTTCAATGAGTTGCCAGAAAGGAATGTGGTGATGTATAATACAATGATTATGGGGTTTTTGAGGTCTGGGATGGTTAGAGAGTCGAAAAGTTTGTTTCAAGATATGCCTGAGAGGGATTCCATTTCTTGGACAACGATGATAACGGGGTTAACACAAAATGGTCTTGACAGGGAAGCACTTGTCTTGTTTAGGAGAATGAGGTTAGAGGGGCTGCCTATTGACCAGTTCACATTTGGGAGTATTTTGACTGCTTGTGGAGGCCTCCGGGCTATCGAAGAAGGCAAACAGCTTCATGCTTATATAGTCAGAACCTATCACAGTGAGAACGTGTTTGTAGGTAGTGCCCTTGTTGATATGTATTCAAAGTGTAGAAACATCAAGTATGCCGAGACTTCTTTTTGTAGAATGCCAAACAAAAATATTGTCTCTTGGACTGCAATGGTCGTTGGATATGGACAGAATGGCTTTAGCGAAGAAGCTGTTAAGGCTTTCTGCGACATGCAAAGGAATGGAGTTGAGCCAGACGATTTTACTTTAGGAAGCGTGATAAGCTCATGTGCAAATCTGGCGAGCTTGGAAGAAGGAGCTCAGTTTCATGGTCGAGCATTGGTGTCAGGCTTGATATCTTTCATTACTGTTTCTAATGCACTTGTAACCCTATATGGTAAGTGTGGCAGCATAGAAGAATCTCACAGGCTTTTCGATGAGATGTCTGTTAAGGACGAGGTCTCTTGGACGGCATTAGTGTCAGGATATGCTCAGTTTGGAAAAGCAACTGAAACAATTCATTTATTTGAGAAAATGCTGGAACATGGTCTTCAACCAGATGGAGTAACTTTTGTCGGGGTTCTTTCGGCTTGCAGTAGGGCCGGACTTGTGGACAAAGGCAAAGTTTATTTTGAATCAATGGTGAAAGAACACGGAATTACACCTATTCTTGATCATTTTACTTGCATGATTGATCTATTTAGTCGATCTGGACGTTTAGTAGAAGCCAAAGATTTTATACAGAAAATGCCTTGCACCCCAGATTCAATTGGTTGGGCTACACTGTTGAGCTCATGTAGAACCCATGGTAACATGGAAATTGGCAAATGGGCAGCAGAGTCCCTTTTGGAACTTGATCCAGAAAATCCTGCCAGCTATCTCTTGCTCACAAGTATGTATGCTGCGAAAGAAAATTGGGCTGAAGTGGCTCAATTAAGAAGGGCCATGAGAGATAGAGGTGTGAGGAAAGAGCCAGGATGTAGTTGGATCAAATATAAAAACAGAGTGCACATTTTCTCTGCTGATGACAAGTCAAGTCCATTTTCAGATGAAATATATGCAGAACTGGAGAAATTGAATGCTAAAATGATAGACGAGGGTTATGTACCAGACGTAACTCATGTCATGCATAGAGTTGAAGAGTCTGATAAAATAAAATTGCTTAACCACCACAGCGAGAGACTTGCTATTGCCTTTGGTTTGATCTTTATCCCCCCTGGGATCCCAATAAGAGTGGTAAAAAACCTAAGGGTATGTGGTGACTGCCATAGTGCAACTAAAATCATTTCTAAGATCACCCAAAGAGAAATTCTTGTAAGAGATGCGGTTAGATTTCATTTATTTAAGGATGGAAAATGTTCTTGTGGAGATTTCTGGTGATAGTTTTCCCACAATTTCGAATCAGTTACGAGGACAGTTACATGTATCATATGAGGAAGGAATAATCACGCTGGTTCTCTTGAAAGGATACATTTGCCTCCCATGAGAGTCTTGTGTATGTATGTTCGTGGTATATCTAATGGTTCAACTTAGAAGGCTGGGGAGCCATTCTCATAAGCACTTCACTTCGGAGCTCATCAATTTCCATAAGTAGCATGCAAGCCTAAAACGAGGAGTATCTGATTTAGGAGGCTACTGATCCTCTTAACAATGTAAGTTAAACTTAAAATAGCTGATTATACTGAAGAAATACAGCTCCTTGTATGTTTTCAATATTCTATTGTAGCTTTCAATTCATAAACACATCAGTATTCAAAAGTTTCAAATTGCATGTTAAACTTTGTTGTATATGGGTGGAAATATAGACAAAAAGAAAAGTTGTCTCGAATTTGCTTGTAGACTGTATATATAAGATGTTCCTTGTAAGTTTAAGCTACTAAAAGTAACGTTAGTCTAGACTACATGAGAAAAGGTTAGCTATAAAATAAGGAATATTGCCTCAGTAAGTACTATGATTCTTAATTATGAAGAATATTATATACGTTTAACCTAAACATCGAACGAATCTAGAGCATTCTAACACATGACTGTTTTAACCCTTTTGACTTCCAACGTGCCTTTTCAAGCTCAACTCTCAAGATGATCAATTAACTTGAGTTTGCACATCAAAACAGGAAACTGAAGTCGAGTATGCCAGAAAAAAGTTATTGTGAAGGTCTTCTGCAGATATCATCTAAATAGTGTATTGGGAATAGTTCACAATCACCAAAATAGAAATTAGCGGTGATTAAATACAACAGCTTAGTAAGGTGCATCTTGCACCACACAAAGGAAGGTATGGTGTTGCAAATCTCCAGGACATCATTAGAATAGCTTAAATTAGCGGTTACAGAATAACTAAAAACTTTGTTGGAACAATGACCGGAATTTCAAGGTTTAGATGAGGGACTTGTTATCCAAACTCTTAACTCCACGAAGTAAAAGAAGTGAAGATTCTTCTAGAACATTACTGAAACTCTGATATTATGAATAAAAACAATGAGAAGTAGATTTCCCCAAGACATTTATCAGATTTTAATGTTCAAAGGATAGATTAAGTACTCAAACTCTGATAATATAAAGAAAAGGAAGAACAGAAGACTTTGTGGGGTATAGCAACAAGAAATCTAATGTTTGCAGGAGAGACTCAATACTAAACCTCCAATACCATGAATAAAAGATGAGAAAAAGTTATGGAGAATGTTTTCCTTTAGGATTGTCACCAAAAAGAAACAAGAATACTGAGCTTATGAAAATAAGAAACTTCCCGCAGGGCAGGTGGTATAAGAATCCCGGTCAGTAGACAGAAACTTCTTAGGTCTACCAAGATGGTAGAAGTTCAGAAACCATGTGAAATGTAGAAAAAGAATAAAAAAGAAATTTGTCTTAATTGTTTGTGGACAATATACAAGAGGGTTCCTTAGGAGTTTAGACTATCAGAAATAAGGTACGTCTAGACTAAAGAAAATAAAAGAAAGGGTCTTCAATAAATAAATTCTCTAAATACCTAGATTTATAACTTCGGCAGAACGAAGGAAAATATTCTATAGTATTAACCTAAATACATAGAATAAATCTTTGACATTTGTTTCTTTTGGTAAGTAACTTTCTAGCATAGAACTAATTTAATTCTTGCTTAAATGGTGCAATGGAAAAAGAGGACGGGGATGACATATTTTCCTTCTTTCTATAAATATTTTTTGGGATCGGAGTGGCAAATGATTTTTTTGTATCTCATACAAGGAAGCCAGTTTTCTGCTGTTAGGAAAGCTACCGAATTTTGAGAATTTTCTTCCTTTTGCATTTTGTATATACTTTATGAGATGAAGTTATAAACATTGCCCAATGTGTTCGTAAGTTACCAATGAATATCTGGTGTACTAGCTAGCTAAGTACAATCTACAGATTGACACTTTCTGCATTATGTGATTGAACGGACACAGATACATAACCTGTCTCAATAGACTCGACACAAATACATTCCAGTAATGTCAAGGAAATTATTCCTACAATGAAGCAACTGTGGACTGTGGTAATGAAACATAAAACTTGAAGTTTAGAAGAGACATAGCTTCTGTTTAGCTGTTCAATAGGAGGGCTTGATCCATCTCATTATCAAAAAATAGGAGGGCTTCGATCGATAGAAGCAACGACCATAGCTAATCCTCTTGTTGTATAGATGTGATAGACTCTAACTGACTTTCCTGTGGATTCTAGAATATATGCAAAAAACTCATTAGACTAAAACTTAGGTGTACAGCTGAATACTACAATGAGCTTACGAGAGAAGCCAGAAAACATTACCTGTAAGCGGCGACAGATTTCAATAACTTCAGCAAGGGGTGCCCAGTCTCCAAAGTTCCTTTCAATAAATTGATAAACAATTCCACTCTTTCCTTTGCCAACAATGAAGAGTCCTCCTTTTGTCTCACCTTCACCCCTGAAGTTTTGATCCACCCCCATAGCTTTTGCTCGCCTATAATTTGAAATAGCTCGAGGATTTAATAGAAAACCTGATATGAACTTGTCTTTTAGCAGATTCCCACCTCCCAGAGCTTTATAAAATCCCATGTTTCTGTCAAAAAGGACTACACCACCCCAGTATCGAGGCCAGAAATCCGTTACCTGGATAACAAAACCCAGCATAATATACCTGGTCCTTCCATAGAAATGTCAACAAAAAAAGGTGGAAAAAAGTTACCTCTGATTCTATTTTCTCATGAAGAACAGCAAATAACTGAACCCCCAAAGCATCAAATATTGGTTTCCTTGCATAGAGTTGGTGGGCTTCAGCTCTACACATGATGCACCTGTTTCCATAGTCTTTTTGGTATGAGATTGAGTCATGCTCATAGATAAAAATTTAATTTCATATTCTTTCTTATAAAATATAAATACCCCCTTCTTCTTTTTTGAATAACCATGGTGTCCAGGCCATAAATACTTGTTCTTTAAAGGAAAAAACATTCCTAGGTTGCATGCTTCATCAATGCATCATAGTTTAGTGGGATAACAAAGATTATTGGATTTTCTACTATGTTTGAAGTTTTGTGCAGAAATTCTCTTAGAGTTTCCTTAATCCCGTAAAATTCTTGCAAGTGGTGTCTTTTTTCCTGTTTACCATAGTATGCATAATATCCTATATTCGAGACATAGGACAACAACTGAGCTACATTTAATAACTTATAGGTTTGAATTGGAGAAATGATTTGATGCTTTACCCAGGGCGACGAATGCATACAAACACTGCTGGTTTATCACGCCAGAGCTTTGAAGCCTTCATCGTAGCAGTCTTTGTTTTCACCAGACGCTCCATTCCAATCTTGTACTCTGGTGTTAGTTTCTGAACTGAAATATTCTCTATGGAAGAATAAGGAGCAACAGTCTCAACTACTGGGGTGGGCTGCACACAGCCACATGCTCTAGGCTCGTCAGGCATTGAAGCTACAATTCCCTTAAAAACATGTCCACCTTTAATTTCCAATTCAGCCATTGATTGTTCAAGGGATATATCTGTCTTGGTTCTTCTAAGGGATCTTGTCATACTTTGCTTCCTGGAGGTGACAGGAGAAATATCCTTCCTGTAAAGACTCTCATTTCTCGAGGTGGTTCTTCTCCTCATGTGGAGGTTATAGGTTTCTGACAAAGAATCTCCCCCAGAAGCTGCAGTTCTGTCTGTAAAACGGGCAACATGGCCCCTTTTCATTCCAAACTTTGAAGTAAGATCTACCGTACTTAGGTTAAGAAGCTTAGTAAGGGAATTCCCAGACTCCTCAAACTTATCCGCGTATTGCATCAGAGCTCGATCATGCAGGTATGACCTGATTTCCAGCGCATCCTTGAGTAGGAAAGATACAATCATCAGAAGAATAGCCTATTTTGTTTCCATAACTTTTCAGATGTGCAATAAACAAGCTTAACAAGTTCCTAGTCAAAGTTTGTTTTGGCAATAATCATTCAAATGGGAATAGAGGCATTTACTGGGTTGAGAAATTCTTAGATGATCACTCAACTAATAGTTATTATCTCAGAAAGTCACTTTCTTTAGAGGCAACCATTTCTAAAGAAGGGTGACTTTCTGAGATAATAACTACTGTATTAGTTAAGTAACCATCCCATAAATCAACTCGGCATTTACTACTTCTTGCATAACACTTGTTTCTTTTGTTGCTACTTAATTATTATTTCTTAGAAATGGTTTTTTTCTAGGAAAACACAGTACTCAGTTGTCGACACAGATTTGCAGAAGAGTATGAAGATGAACCACACAATTTTCTGGATATATATTATATTCAAGAAGAATGAATTTATCAGTAAAAAGAACCTTTTGCCGTTGAGTCATGTTCAACTCGTTCATATCATCTACATTCATAATCTTCAATGTTGGTACATCATCCCATCCTTCCTCAAGCAGCATTGAAACAAGTCCCTGCAGACATCCATTTCCAACAAAGTCCTCGATCGCGAAAGAAGCCATCTTCTTCTTCTTCTCAAACACAGAAAAAACTAGAGAAAAAAATAATCCTGTGATGCAATCAATGTATGGACACCTTTAACTTATACTAGTCTCTGGGTATGCACGTTGTGCATATATCCACACAAATTTGAAACGCATTCACTTTGACAGTGTCTATGGTTCTAGTTAACTCCTGTACAAATGTAACGTACAGTCTTAATAGTGATTGATGAACTACTTCACTCATAGGTTCTTCTCATTTCTATGATAAGTTTTTCTTTTTGTTCAAAGGATTCAGCAAAGATATACTCCCTCCGTTTCAATTTGATTGTCAAGTTTTGATGTGATGCAAGTAAAAGAAGATTTTTGAATTTTGTGGTTTTAAATTGAATATATGTTGAATGTTCTTGAAATCTCTTTTTATTAGTTTAATTAGAGAGGGGCCTGATTAGATATTTAAAGCTTTGTGGGCGATTGTCTCATAACAGCCGGCCAAACATTTTTGCCAAAGATTCAACAGGTGTACCTTTGATTTGATTTATTGAAACTGATAATATTTGGTCCGGAGAAAGGTGATTAGATAAGATATGACACATTTTAAATTTATCGAGGACATGACGATCAAGATAATGGTGGAACGTTAGTAGGTAATCGAGTGGTATACTTCCGTTTTCCTTATCAATATTATTATTATTATTATTATACTCTCCTATTATATCTTGTTCTTTTGATTTTATTATTATCTGTTATTTTCTTTAACTTCGATTACTATATTATGTTGTTGCTAGTGTTTTCAACATGGTTTTTTATTATTGTATTTCCTTTTTAAACCTGCTTTGATAAGTTTTACTTGAGCCGAGGGACCTTCGGAGTAGGATCTGCGGTTTGTCTATGCAACACAACTTGTGGGATTATTCTGATTCCCGAGTATGTTGTTGTTGATAATATTTGGTTTGGTTGGTATTTAAAGAGAACTAAAGCATATAATTATTATTTTTTGAAAAAAAATAAAATATATATTTGTACTATTCGATGTTGAACTAAAGCATACCATATGATCAATATGGTTCTCTGTCAAATAACAGTGTATACTAATTTCTTTTATACCAAATTACCAATTATATCTTTTCATAATAATCAAGATTCAATATAATAAAATATTTATCCGTCTATACCCATTTATAAAATTCGCTCCTTAAAAAAGATGTACAACATACGTACCCCGGTGCAGTATTTTGTAAATATTTTTTCGTAACTATATATGGAGTGACATTTTTGCCTAATTTTTGGTACGTATATATATCATATAATATAATTTTGTTGTAATGTAATGGGCTTCATAAAAGAAAACCCCACTAGATGCAATTATATAAACATGAAATGACAGTTCATCTTTTTCATATTAATATCAGTAGCAAATTCTCAACCAAAAATGAACAAAACAAAAATATTAACAATATTTTTATTAAATGTCACTAAAAGAATTTTATGCGTTGATTCTCAAATGGTGATTCAACTAATAGTTACCATATCAGATTTTATTTTTTCTTGTTTTCAATTTTTTCAACAAGCAAAGAGATTTTATGAGATTATAAGTTGAGTGATCATCTGAGAAATCAACTTGATTTTTTGTTAGCAAAATAGGAAAAGATAACCGAAGAAGAAATGGCTATGAGTAGGGGAAATAAAAGTAATTCCCTTCGGGATACAACAAAGCACGTGTTTATACCTATAGATTTTTCTTACGTTACTTCAGGAGATCGTCCTTATATTTATAGAAACTTAAGAGATCATGACTATTCAGAATAGTCATGCTCCTTCACAAGCAATGTTCGTTGTGTCTGTTTAATTCAAGACCTCTGTACATTATTACAAGGTAAAACTAGCTGTGTTTGCAAAGTGTGGCATTTTGTTCAAATGCATCAAGATTTTTTCAGCCATTTCCCTTGTGCAAACATCACCATGTTGAAATGCACTGACTACAGTAGCAGGAAACAACCTGTCTTGTGATATATCAGAAACAGATTTGTCCCCACCTTTTGATAGAAACTTCTCAATAAGCCAAAATGATTTGTGCCACAAGACATTTCCTCTGTGTTCTTTCACCACATTCAGTACATGTTGAATGGTTTGCATCTCAATCAGTAACTTAACACTCTTGTCTATATCGACTTTATCATCTAGTAAAGTCGATATAGCTGATAATGCTGCTTCAACTACCTCCACATTGTCATGGTGCAAACAGGACAGTAGCCTTTCAACTGCCTTAGCGTCAATTAAGCAGAAGCTGTCTTCAGCAGAACAAACGCCTCGGTGGACTGAGCATAATGGTACTTTTTCGGACTTTGAACGGAGAGACATACATCTTCTTAGTAGAAGAGAGTTTATGTAATTGTTGCTCTTGATTGGTGGTGGTTTTGATAAGTTGATTGATTGATTTGATAAGTTCCCCAGACCAATCGCGGATAACTTTTGGACTTCATCGCTTGATGTTTTCACGAGTAACTCTGTGAATATGTACGTGAAGTTGAACGTTCTTACTACGTGCAGGATTTGATGATCGTAGAGTGTTGTTGTCAATCTGACAAGAGCTCCTACTAGACCATCAAAATATGCACTTGTGTACCTGTTGAAAATTTTGTGTATTAAGTTTAAAGACCTTCTATACGATTAATAAGAATATTGAGAGATATTTTTCAACCAATATTTTCACAATCTTTTAAAAAACTAGCAATACCTGCTTGTTCTTGTCCCACTGACATGGATTTTGTTGATTTGTTCTATGATTGTAGGGATTGTGTTCTTATTGACCAATGCTAGGTTGAGTGTCATGTTTTGGTGGGGAAGCTTTGCAAGAAGAGTCGCGGAGACTGCTTGCTTTTCTGTGATTCGAGGACTTTCAGATGGATTGTGAATTAGGCTCTCGGGTTGTCCTTTGGTTTTGCATAATCTGTCTGAAATTGTGTGTCCCATGAAAGGAGAGAGAGTGATAAGAAGCTTAAGTGCTGCAATGCTGAGTTCTTCGTCAGGGTTATTGATGAGCTCGATCAGATTGTAGCTAGCGTCTGTCTCTTTGATCACAGAGGTAACGGTAGACGATGCTTTGGGGTACTTCATCAGGCATATCAAGATTCTAACAAGGTGAAAGTTCATTTCTTCAGGGGTTGAGTTCTTGATCCTCTGGATGAAGTTGAATATCATGTAATCAGAAGCCAATGTGTGGCCACGCTCGTTAACTTGAAGATTCTCTAGATCTAATCCAGACTCGAGCACATTTGCAAGTATACCAGCTGCTTCTTTCTTCGAGTTCATTGGCTCACCGTGAATCATCTTTCGAGAGATAATCTCATCAATCATGATTTGGACAAGGCCAGCTTGCACTAGTGTGTTAGCATTTGGATGGTGAGAAGAAATTTGTTGTAGAGCTACAAAGGCTGCATTCCTGCTCAAAGTATCTCCACTCTCTATCATTTTGATCAAAGTCGGAGAAACTCGTTCAGCAACATAGATTATGTTGTCAGGTCCAAGAACGATTTCCCCGAGGTATCGTGCCATCTCCATTTTCATCTCTTCACTGCCTACTCAAGTTTTTTTGGTAGTAGTAACAGTCAGTTACTTGAATTTAAAATCGACACCAAAAAAGACTCAATTTGGAATCAACCTCTTTGATACTTGTCTATAGTTTACGTTTCAGTTCGTCTCTCTGGTTTTGACTTGAAACGGAAGTTTAAGAAAGTAAAACAAAGACTTTAGAATCTTGTGGTCTTAAACTAAAGATGTGTAGATTGTACCAAAATGTCCTTTAATCCTATGTCCATGCCACGTAGAAAGTTGAAAATAAATAGTTTCCAATGAAGGAAAAAGACTTTTTTTTTTAAACGGACAAAAAAGGAAAGTAAGATAAACAAATTGAAACGAGGGAGTACATGATTACCTTCGAGAAGATTATTTAAAAGTGGCTCCAGATATCCATTTTCAGCCATGTGTTTGATGTTGCTAGGATATTTCTCTAAACTTTTCAAGACTTCATCAGCTTTATCTGCAATGAATGCATCATCGGTATGTCTGTATTTGGCTGTAATGAGCATGAGGATGGCTCCAGGAACTGCCCCAATATTATAACACAGAAACTGGGATTTCGATAGCTCAAGCAGAAGACGTAGTGATGCATGCCTAATAGGTCCGTGATTACTTGACAGCATCCTTGTGACTGTAGCAACATCGATAGTTTGAACAATTACTTCCTGCATTTGTGCCACAGCTCAACTCAGTAACATGTCTAGAGGATACTCTAATTATGTTCAATGTAGAGTGGAGACAGATAAAATCTGAAATGTTATACTCCTTCCGTGTCAATTTGTTTGTCGTTCTTTTCTTTTTAGTCTGTATATTTTGAGTTTAAGACCACAAAATTCTGAAGTTTTCTTTACTTTCTTAAACTTTGTGAGAAGTCAAAACCAGACAAACAAATTGAAACGGAGGGAGTAGTAGCTGTATGCTTTTTTGAACTTAAAACACTTCAAGGATAGAAGAAAAAGACTATTACCTCATCATCATCTTCAGCCAAATATCGCAATAATTCCAACGTTGCACATCTTATAGTTCTGTTTCTGTTATCCAGTAAATTTCCAAGCAGTGGTATTACACCAATGCTACGAACTTGTACCTTATTGTACGGTTTTCTGAGGCAAACGCTGTGCAAATCTTCGATTGCTTTGAGTATTATATCCTGTGTAGTAGCTGAAGACAATGCTGCCCTTGCAGCCTTGATCCTTGCTGTTTCATTTCTTTCTTTCCATTCGTCTATCGTTGCTTTCAATGCCACATTAGTGCTCAGACTTCTACTCTTTAGCTTCTGGCCTGACTTTGGACAAAATATTTCTTCGCGGTTATTATCAGACTTGTTAATCCATTCTGATATCGCATCCCTCTCATATGTTACTCCACTTTCTATTGTGACAGGATCCTCCATAATCTTCTTTGTTAAAGGACAGAAGAATGTTTCGTATAGAGGTTCCATGTATTC